GCTTCAAACATCCGATCCCACTGTTGAAACGCAACCAAGATACCCAGGGAACCCGGGGTGCCCTGGGTCTCCAGGGAATGTTGGTCTGCTCGGGAATGATGGGCTCATTGAAATGTTGGCCCACAATGTTGGTTTGACAATGGTTTTACCACATATATAATAGTAATATCGTCGTTGTAGTATGTTGGGTTTACAACCCAACGGCCCCGTGTTCAAGTCCACGCATTTTTATTTATTTTATTTTGTTTTTACCTGCATACAAATAGTATGGATACGATAGGCATTGATGGTGTTGACGAGGAGTGCATAGTTATAGTACCTAATCGTGAAACAACATTTGATAGGGGGTTCTACCTCAAGTTATGGATAGGGGGGCACAGAGTACGAAATGTCGCACGGCTTGGCGGGGCAAGCTGTGGTTTAAAAGCAAGTGTATTGCATTAGAACAACTAAGCCAAAGTTAAGCATGCCGTCAGTGAAGGGCTAGTGGTGGTCCAACACTTCGTCTACTGCGAACGTTTCTTCCGCCATTTCTTCCAGTGGCTCCTCTACCTCGGCGTCGGCCAGTGAATCGCGGAGCAGCCTCGCCTCGCTGGGCAACGTTTCGACCAAAGCGCCGAGGGGGCAACGGTACGCCTCGCACGTCCTTGCACTGCTGTTGCAGGGCATACAACAAGTGACAACAGAACTTCTTCTTGAAAAAGAAGTTGCACTCACAAGACAAGTGCCCTGGGGTCGTTATCACACGCCAACCATTCGCTGGCTGGGGGTTCCCGCGACACATCGATTCGTGGCGTACGTTGTTGGCTCGATCGTTGTAGTAGTATGAATTGGCGAGGGCCACTGCTTGTGCGGGTACAGTTGTAATGCCACGGTCTTGCAGCTCGACCCACAAGGCGTTTCTAGCGGCTTCGTCTTCGAACGCAATTGCCACTGAAATGGCAAGGTGAGGGACAATCCCGCGGATCCGGGGGTCGTTTGACTCAGATGTATACGCGGAATTCAGAGGGGCAACGCCAAATTCAAGGGTTGGAGTCGGAGGAACAACCTCTAACAGTGCGAACTTAACCAAGCGCCGAAAGCGCTGCAGTAACTTCTTGCTCGGCGATGTGTGGTCCTGAATGGTTGCGCTCTGAACGTTGACCATCTTCGACAATCGTTCCCAGCAAAAGGAACGTTGCACACACCATGCACTGTACGCTGGGTATACAGCCGTATATCCCTACGAATTGAAGTCAGGTCAAACGTGAGGACGCTCAAACCTTTAAAGTGTTTGTTGAATAATTCGCATGGGTTGTTCGTTGTTGGAGGGGCATGAGCTACGTTCGGCCGACGCGTTCACCAATTCACTGCACATACGGCGAAAACCAAGGCCTGCTCCGGGCATAGAATGCTGTTGAAGGCGGTGGCATGACTCTCGTTGCTTTCGGTCGGTGACGGCAGATACCTCTGTCCACTTTCGAGAAGTGGTTGAATAATCAAGACAGAATCAACCGAGTCTCGGCAGACCGCGTCAACAAGCACATCGCCCCACGAGCGTCCATATTGCAACGACAATCCAAGACGCCAGTCGACCCTCGACAGCTGCAGCTGCATGCGTGGATGGCCACGGCACGTTCCCCAATCAACCTGGAACTTATGCGTGTCAAGGTGAGTGAGCTTACGCCCGAGTGGGACGACATCAGGCATTCAAGTACTCCAATTATTTTGCCAAGTGGTGTCGTCGTGTCTGCAAGTTTTGAAACCGGCGTCAAGCCAATGATGCCACCGACTCCGACGACACTGTAAGTGGCAGTATACCCAACGGCGTTGACACCTTTGATGCCACTGAAACGGTCGAACAAGGCGGCGGTCCCTCAGGCGAAGACACCGAAATCGACGATGAATTGTCGACACGTGACCCAGCCCTCGACAGAACGTATGGAACCTCCAAAAAGGCGCCATGCCGCCCCTTCCGAAAAAGCGTCGTGTCAGAAGACGCTGATCTGTTCGATAACGACGATTCTTTGACCGACAGCGATTTCGCCACACTTCTCGAAGATTCCAGTCACCCCTTTTCCTGCCCAATCTCCCCTGTACGCTCCGACCCTCGAGCCGCTCTAAGGTATATCAATGGGCCACTTCCGTGTGCTGTTGGCTCCTCAAAGTCACACCCTTCGGCTACCTCCAGTGAGGACTCGTACAACAGCGACTTACTTCAAAATGACGTCAATCCCAGTGAAGCTCCTGAAGGCACTAGGCGGCAAACGTAGTGGAAAGACTCCCCGAACAAAATGCAGGCCCCGGGACCACACCAATCCACGAGACATCACGCCAGCGCCTGCCCCACCTTCTCCTGCCTACCCCAAGGACACCGCCACTCGACGAGCCGCCACTGAACTATTAGCCGAACCCGCCCCTGTCCACCCCAAGGACCCCGCCACTCGACGAGCCGCCACTCAACTATCTGCTGCACCAACCCCTGCCACGCGACGAGGCTCCAATGAAGCATCAGCTACGCGGGTCTCCACCACCCAAAGGACCCCGCCATATCCATCAAACGCGGGGCGACGGTCCCCCCTACAAAGATCAAGCCCACCAAAGCGCCTCGGGATCTGAACGAGGCACCCAACGTTATCGTCCTAACTGAAAGCGATGATTCCGAGGACGACGTGAAGTTTGAGTCTGTGGAAGCCGGATGCCCTTGGCCGCATGTACACCCATGTCGAGGCTTGTCAGCCCGGTTTGAGCCTTCCACCACGACTTGCACGTTCCTCCAGAGGGAAACGATTTTCAAGTGGAATCCACAACTCTCACTGCGGCTGCTGTTGTCGCGAGTTTCCTTGCAACGCATTCAGGTTGAGTGACAACTTGATGACGCAAACCGAGTGTGCTTCAAACCGCTGTAGCTCGATGGAAATTTGCCAAAACCAAACGATCCGGAAGAAGCGATTCCCAAAGACAACTGTGGTCCAAGATGGCCTGCTCAAACACGGCCTCGGAATTGACGTGGATGTATGATGGACTTTTTGCGCCTGAAACGCCTAAAGCAAGGTACGACCGATTGGTATTTGGCCCGCGTTGGTTCCAGCGAAGATTTGTACATTGAGGCGGGCCGTGTGGGCAATAATTCGAGGTTCATCAACCACTCATGCATTCCAAACTGCCGGTTTCAAACATGATATGTTGTCACCAAGCCTCGGTTAATGGTCGTCACCAACCA